GAAGACAAAAATCCTCCAGGATCCCTGGGCCAATCTAGTCTGGAGGAAAATTCCTTTCTGACCCCATAGTGGTGATAGGGTTACCTTGGGCATATAAGAAAGGGCCATATGAGCCAAGCGCTGGCTCATCCCTTCCCACCCTACCTCTCATGATTTGCCTAAATTCATAGAAAGTCAAAGGGTGTGGTCACACTGGATGCTTGGTGTAATATGGCATTGCCTCTAATTGTACTGGTTTAAAATGTTGTGGGGCATACAACAACTGAAGAAGATCGGCCGAAAAGGGGTGCCTGGTAGGGTAATCACCACCCCTATATGTTTGTGGCCCTAGGTTAGATTCTGTAAAAATGTGATTAGCACCCCCTCTGTAAGCCGCCCAGAGGTTAGGGGTTAGGGCGGGATAGTAAATCGAATTAATAAATATAATAAATAATATCATCCAAACAGTACGTCCTGCTGCAGGTTACCCATGTGGCCATCCCCTGGTCAAGCATCCACATTACTGCAGCGTCTCAGCCACGGAGTGCGCTGCCCAGTTGGTTTTTAAAATGCAGGTGGGCACATATCCATATGTGTGCACATGTGCATATAGGCAAAAACTAAAACAAAACACCAAAACCCCACCCCAGTGGCGGAAACGGATCTGCAGGTTCAGACTGCCAATCCGTTTTGCATGCACTCCCCCATGTTCAGACATCCGGTCACATGCAATGAATGTGTGGGGAACACACCCATAGGCAGGATGTTTTAGATCAGGGGGCCTTGTAAAATGTAAAATCAGGGGGCACTGAAATAAAAATAAAAAGGCAGGCAGCCCCACTGAAAAGAGTGGAAGAGGATTCTGAGTTGAATTGCTTAGGATTGCTCACTTAACACGGTGGGGTATTGGGGGGCGGGGGTGCACATGCATTAGGAGCCAAGCCTCTCTAGTCCAGCGCTGGGGGGGGGGGATATGCCACCATAGCAAACAAAGCTGGCCGGGCTTTATTAAGTACTTCTGCTGGGGAGCAGCCCTTGGAAGGTGCCCTGAAGTGAAAAGCGGTGAGCCAGAGGGGTGGGTGTCACCGGTGAGGCCCTGGTAGTGAGAGGCAGTCGCACAAGTCTCATAGGACTTGCTTGGTTCGCACGCCTCAGGTTCAGAGTTACTGGGGTGCATGACATGGCCACCACAGACTTTCAAAGAGTGTGTGATGAGTTCCCGGTGATATTTGATGGGACGCTCGGTTGCTACACCAGACCTCCAGTCTCCCTACAACTCAATCCAGGGGTTCGGCCCATACGGCTGAAGGCCAGGTACGTCCTGTTCGCCCTGAAGCCTAAGATAGACAAGGAGCTGGATTGGCTGGTGGCCCAAGGACTTTTGGAGCCAGTACATCACGCCCTATGGAAGACCCCTATCGTGACCCCGGTAAAGCCCAACGGACACATCCACATCTGCATGGACTACAAATGCATGATTAACAAGGCCCTCCAGGATCACGCATATCCAGTCCTGGTGGTCAGCCACATCCTGGCATCCCTGGTGGGTGTAAAGTCTTTGGTAAACTGGATTTAGCTCAGGTTTACCAAAAGCTCCCAGTGGATGATGCAACCGCAGAGACCCAGGTGATAGTGATGCACAGGGATGTGTTCCGGATGCGGTGGCTGCAATTCGGGGTCAGCGTAGTGCTGGGAATTTTTCAGAATCTAATGTAATCTCTCCTTAAAGGAATTCTTGGGGTACAATCCTTCTTTGACAATGTTTTGATCGCCGCACCTACAGATGAGGATTTTGCCGAGAGACTGCACACTGTCGTGCAGCAATTTCAAGTCACCGGTCTCAAAGTAACGTGGGAAAATGTCTCCTGGGTGTCCCGCGAGTTGAGTTCCTGGGGTTCTCTGTCGATGCCCAGGGCATCCATCTCGCTCCTGACAAGGTCCGTGCCATCGTCAACACCCCAGCTCCCACATCCAAGCCAGAACTCCAGGCCTTCTTGGGGCTGTTGAACTTTTATCATTCCTTCCTGCCCCACAAGGCTGCAGTCACGGAGCCACTGCACCGACTCCTTGAGAAGAAGGCCCCTTGGGTCTGAGGCCAGAAGCAAGCTGCCACATTCCAGGTCGTCAAGGAGCTGCTCACCTCGAATGCTGTCCTGGCAGACTTCAACAAAACACTGCCAGTCGTCCTTGCCTGCGTCACTTCACCATATGGGGTAGGAGCCATCCTCGGTCATCAGCTACCCGATGGCAGGGAGGTTCCCATGGCATACTACTCCCGCACATTGTCCTCGGCTGAGCGTAATTATGTACAAATAGACAAGGAGGCGCTGGCTATCGTGGCGGGAGTCAAGAAATTTCACGACTACCTCTATGGGTGGCCCTTCCCCATCATGACCAATCACAAGCCCCTGCTGGGCATGCTGGCCCTGGATTGCCAGATGCCACAGATGATGTTCCCCAAGGTGTTGCGTTGGTCTGGTGGGCTACCAGTACTCTCTTCTCCACTGCCCTGGAAAGGTGGTGGGTCATGCCGACATCCTCAGCCACCTGCCGCTTCCCTCCTGCGACCTGGACCTTGCCACGGCACATCAAATCCTGCTCCTTGAGGACCTCCCCGACCGTCCTCTCCAGGTAACTGACATGTCCTGCCACACTGCCAAGGACCGTGCCCTCTCCCGTGTTTTGGACTGGGTGGGGAGGGGCTGGTCCACCAGCCAGGTGGGCCCAGAATTTGCTGCATTCTCCTCCCGCTGAGATAAGCTTTCAGCGCACAAGGGTTGCCTGCTGTGGGGAAGCCGGGTGATGGTACCAGCACCGTTGTTCCAGCAAGTACTAGCGTAGTTGCACAACGCACACCCAGGGATTGTGCAGATGAAAGTGCTGGCCCGCAGCTATGTATGATGGCCTGGCTTGGACAGCGACCTTGAGGACTGTGTAAAACACTGCCAGGCCTGCCAAGAAACTCGACCAGAGCCGCCAAGGGCCCTAGTGCAACAGTGGGAATCCACCCACAAATCATTGTCCCGATTGCATCTGGATTTCACAGGCCCCTTCCAAGGCCAAATCTTCTTCATTTTGGTAGATTCATATACCAAATGGCTGGAAGTGGTGCCTGTCCTCCACCTCTTCCAAGGCAGAAATCTGGGCCTTCTGACAGATCTTCTGTACCCGCGGCCTACCCGACACCGTCGTGACAGACACTGAAGTTCCACGAGTTCATGGGCCGCTACCTAATCCGGCACATCCGATCCGCTCCTTTCCACCCAGCCACCAGCGGACAAGCGGAAAGGATGGTGAGGATCATGAAGGAGTCCCTCTGGCAGATCATCCATGGAGATTGGGACCACCGGCTCGTGGCATTCCTTTTCAGCCACCGAGTGACCCCAAACACCTCCACTGGCTGCAGCCCCATGGAACTCCTCATGGGCAGGTGCCTAACCACCCGTTTAGACTGGCTGCACCCCAACTGTGCTCCAGAGCACTGCCCAGCTCCTGAGAACCAAGAGGCACCCCGTGGACTCTTTCTGGGTGACCCCGTCTATGCCTAGAACTTCTCCAGCGGCTCAGCCTGAATTCCGGCCTGGGTGACCAGAGTTACAGGGGCCCTGTCATATGAGGTGTGTACTGAGGATGGCCAAGTGCTGCGGAGGCACATTGACCAACTCTGCAGCCGTTTACTCCCAGCGAAACCACAGCTTCCACTAGCAGTTCAAGAAGCTGGTGACACGCAGTTGCCCCAACTGTGGGAATTTGAGACCACAAGAGAACCCCCATTAGACAATGCACCACCAACCTATCAGGAATGTGAAACTTGTGACCAGGTGGCCATGGAATTGCCAGACACCCCACTAGCTCCGCAGCCTTCCACCAGCGCATCGCCCGCACAGTGAGAGTGTATGTTCAGACCAAGTTCACCCATTACATTTCCTTGGTAGGAAGTTGTAATTATTTTTCTGGGGAAGACTATAGTTTTGTAGACAAACACATGGCCCTCAGTCTGTGTCAGGATGCCTTCTCATGTTCTTGACCAGCACATGAAGCAAATTATGTACAAAAGGTTGCAATGCCCAGCCATTTCATGTTTTCCCCTGGGTCCTAGGCTAGGAACACTGAGCATGAGATTTCTGTAATGAACTCAATAAATCAAAAGTAGGTTTGCAGCTTACAGATACACACCTGAACAGCATACTCAAAATTGCTGCAGCACAGACATTTTAATGCAATAATTAAGAGCAAGAGGTGTCAGTTATCAAAGACTGTTAAACAGACAAAATATTGCAAGAGTCCTAGTGTTTAAAGCATGTTTTATTTAAAGTTTAAAAAATCTTTAATTGTGTCGTTTATAAAGTGTATATCTCCATTACCTGGCATTACATTTTATGACATACATGGCCCACAAGAACAAATGAATCAGATATGTCAGATCCGGCCCTCAGAAGAAATTAGTTGGAAGCATATAGCGTTGCTCTTTCCAGTAGCGGAGACCTGAATGAATGCAGAATAGTGTACCTTCGAAAGCTTTCTGGGCATAAACCTCGGAGCGTTGGAACGCGAACTTTAGTAACGTTTCCTTCCGCGATCTCCTGAGGGGACGGAGATCCAATGATTTGCAGAAGGACAAATGCCCATCCAATGACGGATGGCGCCCCCGCCCAGCTTCGCACCCCCGTTTGAGCCTTGTATTGTCGCCCGTGTCTATCATTCCCTAAAAGCCCGGTTGACATAATGAATGAGTTTGGACACACCTTCCAGCCCGGAGGAAACGCCGGATCTCCAGACAGGGACCCACTGATCTCCCAGAGCCATCGCAGAGGCGCTGCGGGAAACCACCCGGCCACCTCCAGAGTCGCCGGACGGGTTAGGAGACAAGTGTGGGGTTGTGGGAGGCCCACCACGGCCCCCTCTGCAGCCCATCTCTGAGCCGTCGGAGGGGAGAGGGGGCGACGGGAGGTCGCTTTTCGGCCGGTGTTGGGGCAGCCCAGTCTCCCGGGCCCCGGCGGCCAGCCTCCCCCTGCCCTGCTATGCTTCCCAGCGCGCTGGCTTGGCACTGCGGGAGCTCCGCGACGCTCCTCAGCTGGCCCGCGGCTCCCGGCTTCGGCAGTCTGGGCAAAAGTTTTCTGATCGAGAACTTGCTGAGGTCCGGGGGCGCCCCGCAGCCGGGCCCCCCCAGCCTGCCCGCCACGCCGATCCCGCTGAAGCCGCGCCCCGCCTCTGCCGGCGAAGCCGCCCGCCCCCCCGGAGGGGCCTGCCCGAGCCGGCCTTGGCCGTTCCCGGCGCTCCACGCCTCGGCAGCGGACAGCAGCGGAGAAGGCGCCTTTCCAGCCGCAGGTGAGCAGCCGGGCCCCTCCCTCCCTCCCTCCCTCCGCGCCAGGCTCCAGCCGCCCTGAGTCGGCGCTGCTTCGCCCTCCCCGCCCCAGACCGCTCTAGCGGTGGGAGCGGGGCCGGAACGCCGCGCAGACTTGGAAGCCAAAGCGCTGCCTGCTTCCAAGTGGCGCCAAGCCCTCCCGTTGCCGATGGTGGGCAACTTCGCCCCTTCAGCGTCGGCACGGCGGGGGATGGGGAGGGACACGCGTCGCCCTTTCGCCACACGCCCTTCGGACTTCGGTGCCTGTTGGGACGGCCTAGAGAGAACTAGGTGCTTAGCTAGCTGGGGATAAGTGGAGGGGTCAAATGGAGAGTGTGTACCCTGTAGTCGGCTGCGGAGGGACGCCCGGCGTGCCTTACAAGGTATAAGTCAGACCCTCTCGGCAGTAAAACTGGCTGTTCCCCAGACCGCGACTCCTGCGGCTCTACAGGCGCATCCAGCAATTTATGAAGCTGCCCCTTCCCACAACTAACTTTCAAGACAAAGCCTACGGTCCTGAAATGAACACACTTATACAGGTCATGTCGAACGGGGTCCCCGAAAGTGGGGTTCTTTTGGTGTGTGAGTGGATAAATTGTTGCTGCGAATCGGGCTTTTAAAATGATTTCTGCTTTATGCATAGAACTGTCGGATCCTCTCTGAGCTACCATGAAATCAAACAATTTCCCTGCAACTACGGATCGGTTTAAAAAGTTTCTCTTCCCCATCATCCATCAAGGCACGTGTTTTTGTGTGTGTGTTTTTAAGAAACAAAGTTTGATCCTATCAAAAGAGCTGCCAAGCTACATGGGTTGCTACTTAAAAGACAGGTATTGCAATGCACATGTTTGCCTTATGGCTCTCTGGCTGTAAATCCCATTTATCAGGGGCCATCTGTGACTATGGTCCAACTACCCCAACAAAAAAGAAAGAAAGAAAAACAGAACCACACACACCGTTTCAGTGGTAATCTGAATAATCCATTCAGTGTTTACAAGTACAAATGTTTTTAAATGCAGCTATTATTCATAATGCATAGCATTCATATAGCTCTTTTAAGTGTTCGAAATACATACTTTGTCTTAGTAAACCTTATAACAGTTCTAAGGAAGAGGTTCCTGTACAACAAGATTAATTAAATAACTTCATAAAAGAATGGCAAAATTTTAAAAACAGCAGTTTAACCAGATGAACACATATCTGTCAGCTAATCACTATTTTCAGCTTGTTGAAGAGTTCTGTGTAATCCAGAAGCTTGCACATTGCTAAGTAACTTTTAAAAATACACTATTTACCTGTTTGTTTATTTAGGATTTTCATGTCTTGCCTTTCTACTCCAGTGACACACACACAGAGCAGCTGTGCCCCACCACTGTGGAACAAGTCAGACCCCCCCCTCGGCAAAATACAACATTTACAGATCTATCCAATGATATGTTTAACCAATTAATTTAGTTTTTAAACAAAACAACCCTCTCAAAACTAAGCAAGAGGAAGCTAAAAAAAGAGCAGCAACAAACAGTCTATAACCCAAAGTGTGTTACAGTAATAAAACTTACCCTCCCCTAAATTTTTTCTGGAATAAAAAAGTTCTCATAGAATTCCAGGAGGCCACAAGGATGGGGTCACTTGGGCTGCTTGGGAGAGGGAGTTCCAAAACCTGGGGTGTACAGCCCAGTCTACAAATCTCACCTTAGTGATCACCAGCTGATCTCAAATCATAGTTGAGAAAACCAAAGAAGGGATCCCAGTACAGGAAATCCATCCATGCGCCTGAATGCCCATGGGCTCAAAGGCAGAAGCCTGGGGGTGGGGGGGAATCTCATAATGGGGACGAATGGTCAGACAGCCCTAATCGCAACCATTGCGCTAGATAGCTGTCCAGATCGGCAAAATTGCAGATTTAGAGCGGAAGTACCCAGAAAATACTTGATTTTCCCGGGGGCAGGAAAAACCGGGAGCATTGCGGGAGTGAGCCTGCTTCAGCATGGGAGGCGGATTGGCACATGTGAATGGAAAATTTAAATGCGAGAGGGAACAGCGGTGAACCCCAATCAAAAGGACCATGTGACTACATCGTGAGCCAGCAACGTGAGATAGAGAGCATTTGCCAGCCTATTTGAAATAAGAAGGCTTCTAGCCAGATAAAAAAAGAGGAGTGGTTGCTACTATTAAGAAATTAATTAACTGGCTTGCTCCTAGTACAAATACTTGAAATGGAACTGGAAGATAATTTGAAAAAGAAGTTAAGCTGCAATAATTTGAAGAAAGTAAAAAAGAAGTTAATGCTGGTACTATTTGAAGGAAGCAAAAGAAGTAGTTAAATTGTATCAAGAGGCAGACACCTTCTAACATAACAGGACTACTCCTGAGGAAGATTGTTGAAATGAGTATAAAACCCGGTGCTCATAGAGGATGGTGGACTTTTTCTTGAATATGTTAGAATTTCCTGAGCTATATTGCAAAAGTTTTATTGATGTTCATAAGAATTAAATGTTATTGTCAATTTCATCACAATGTTTCTTTGTGTTGATGGATCTCAAAGCATAGGCGGGTTCTCGTGAGTGGCAGGTGAGGCGATCTTTCTGGGATAAAAGTTGCTAGTCACCATCAAATGGCATTCGGTTTAGAAACTAACTAGCCAGTGAAGCTGATCTCACACTTGTGGTATATGTTCGTCATTAGGACCATCCATTATGATTCCCCCACTGTGGTATTCTGAGAACACTGAAGTTTCCAGATATTAATCAAAGGCAGCTCCCTCCGCCACATAAAGGTTTAAAGGTTTCCCTTGCTCGAAAGCTAGTCAAATCCGACTCTTGGGGATGGTTCTCATCTCCATTTCCAAGCCGAAGAGCCAGCACTGTCTGAAGATGTTTCTGATGTCATGTGACCGGCATGACTAGATGCCGAAGCACATGGGACGCTGTTACCTTCCCACCAAAGTGGTACCTATTTATATACTTGCAATTTCTTACTTTCAAACTGTTAGGTTGGCAGGAGCTGGGGCCAGAGACAGGAGCTCACTCCGTCACACGGCACTCGGGTCTCGAACTGCCGAATTACAGACCTTCCAGTCTGCAGCTCATACAGGACATTTAATCAAGATTTTACCCAGCCTGGTGGAACTGTGGTCAGACCTTCAGGAAGAGCAGCAGCCGGCCAGTTTAAACTGGTCCAAAAGCACTCCTGCCGAACTTCTCCTTCTCCAGCAGCACAGCTAGGAAAGGGTGTTGCTTCACTGGCTCTAGGGATGGTGTTTTAGCCGGATTGTCATCTGCACCCCGGCGATGACTGGCTGCAACAGTCTGTTATTGCAACAGTAGTTACTCACAGTAGTGTCAGTGAGTTGAGGAGAGGTCACTGGCCTGATCCTGTTCTCACAAACAGGGCAAGTCATCCCTGGCATGAATGAGAGCTAGATATAAGGGGCTGGAAATGTTTTCTGAATTGAAACACGATGGCTAGGGTCTAGGGTTGCCAACTCTGGACTGAAAAGTTCATGGAGACTATGAGGGTGGACCCTGAGGAGGATGCGGTTTGGGGAGGGCAGGGACCTCAGCAGGGTATAATGCCATGGACTCCACCTTCCTGAGTGGCCATTTTCTCCAGGGCAACTCATTTCTGTCGTCTGGAGATCAGTTGTAATTCTGGCAGATCTCTCGGTCCCACCTGAAGGCTGGCAGTCCTACTAGGGATGAGAGACTGGAGATGCAGGAGTGGGGAATTAAGGAACAAGCAAATGGAGCTCTTTGGATGCAGATGGGAAGCTACTGTGCAATGCAAACAGTGGACTGTCTGTTGTGCTGTGGGAGCTATGGCATACATTGCTTTACCCTCATCCCGTGCCTATTCCATCACTGCATCCTGACTCATGTCTGCCATCAAGGGCGTAGACTTTCCAATTTTCCGGGGGGGGGGGCTGGGGCTGGGCCAGAGGCATTGCTAAGTCATTAAAAGAACTGGGACCCAATGACATCATAGGGAGGAGCTAGTGACATCACAGGCATGGTCATTATCTATGGAGGTGGACCCATGTGGGATTTAGGGATGGGCTCCCCAGAAATTTAGGGAGGCCTGGGAACCGCCCTAGCAATGTCCCTGGGCTGGGCTAACCCCAGGAACAGTTGCCTTCTTAGAACACTGCTTAGAAACTTAGAAAGCCCCACACACACCCCACACTGGAATAAGAACATAATATCAGGCCATACCACATTGCAATAAAGCCCCTACAACTTTATACAGAAATACTGAGCTTCCCTACCATTTGCCACAACTAGCCCACCACACAAGAAGAAGAAGAAAAGATAGGATTTACACCCCGCCCTTCACTACCCAAGGGAGTCTCAGAGCGGCTTACAAACTCCTTTCCCTTCCCCT